GGCTGCTGGCTGCTCACGCTGGCTGCTGGCTACACACGGTAGCCCATGTCAACCCATTGCAGCAGGGGCTGCAGCCTACTCCGGTGCCGGCGACTCATGGCAGCCCAGCTCCAGGTTGAGCTGTTGTTCAGCATCTTAGCTGTAGAGGGCAGTGTCACTGGCATTCATATGTGGGATCCGAACCGGGGCCCTCTGGCATCCCAAGCCAGCTCTTAACCAACGTGCCACTCAGCCGGCCCAAGTATGGACACTTTTGAGTCTGGCTTTTTGAGCTAAACAATTATGTTTGTGAGGTTCATCCATATTATTACATGTAGTTGTAGTTTATTATTTCTTATGCATCCCATTGTGTGCATATACCACAATTTATTTAAACATTCTACTGTTGATGGACATTTGGATAGTTCCTAACTTGGGTTTATCACAAGTAATGAATGCTGCCATAAACATTCCTGTAAATGTGTTTAGGTGATTGTGTTTGCATTTCTGTTGGATATATACCTAGGAGTAAAACTGCTGATTCTTAAGGTGTGCAAATATTCAGTGCTACTAGATATTACCAAAGAGTTTTCTAAAGCTCTTATACTAATTTCATTCCCATCAGCAAAGTATGAAGAGTTCTAGTTGCTCCATACCCTAATGGATTTACAAAGATCAGATCCTCTGGCTGCTGTGTGGAGAATGGATAGTAAGAGATCAACAGTGGATACAGAAAGTGCAGGTTAAAGTCACTGCAGTTGTCCCGGAGAGATGGTAGTGGCTTGGACTAGGCCAGTGGCCATGGAGATGGATAAACATAAGCAGATTTGAACTATAAACTCAGTGTTTCCTCCTGCATTTACAATTACCCCTTTCTTTTCATTAAGATGAATAGATAGAGAGTGAGACAAGAAACTCAGATAACAAAGGAAACAAATACTTTGACTAAAAAAAGTTTAAAAATCTCAAATACGTAGGTCATTCAAAATTGGTAAATCCAAAGGCAATTCTAGGAGTCTTCTGATCCAGGAGCTTCCCAGCAAGTGACCTAACCAGAGAGGCTAAGCCAGAGGGTCAGAAGTGGCCCTAGACCTGTTATGAGACATGGAAAAGGGGAGAGTGTCTGGTAGAAAGTCCATTCAACTCTGCTGCTGTTTCTGTGAGATTGCTGTGAATGATATAATAGAACTAAAACATACAGCCCCTCCCCTGGAGAAGAACAAAACATTGCTTTGTGTGGTGTGGGCCAGACAAGGTACACAAAGAGGAAAAGACCAAGGCAGCTGTGGAATTCCAGAGATGGGAGACAGGTAAAGAACCTTGCCTGGAGCAACAAAAATAAGGCTGGAGCTAAAGTGAGGAGCCTCCAATGCCTTGCCAGAGTTGAGTCTTGATGGGCTACTCTTTGAGGAGACCCTAAAGGATGTGATCAGACAAAGACCAGTTGAAAATTAAGTTTCATTTGAGTGGTGGTATGTAGGACAGAGTGTAGGGTGCCATGGGGCAAGAGATATGGGAACCCAGTAGGGAGGCGGGGAACATCATCCTCATGGGAGGTAATTAGGGAAGAAGAAGGAAGGACTGACAGATTCAACAGCCACTGAAGGAAAAGTTAAGAGGACTTTAGGTCTGGCTGGGTGTGGAGGATTCAAGTTTTCCAGCCTGGGTGACCTGGAGAATATCTCCACTGATGGAAACAAGAAAGTCAAAGGAAGATGAATTTGGGGAATAAATTGTGAGGTCAGTGTGAAGCTGGCTGAGTTTGAGCTAAAATCAAGACATTTGAGTGAACATGTGCTTCAGGCAGTTAGATTCGAATTTGGAGGCATGATGTAGGAGGCAGAGGGAGCAGTTGATGTCCTTGGAGGGGATGGGCTCTGCGAGGAAGGCCACAGGGAGAAAGACAAAGAGGACCAGGGCTGTATCCTGGGGATTCTTACACTACCCATCAGTCTCCACTAACATTCTCCTCCACCCTCCACACACTCCAACACCACTATTCCTTCCTGCAGCTGAAGGAATTTATAGTTACTGAGCATTCACTTTGAGCCAGTCTTGACATCAAGTCAACCTGTCATTTCATTAAACCATGAGAACAGCCCTGTGAGGTTGGTCTTGCAGACCCACTTTACAGAGGACAAAACTGAGACCCAGGGAGAGAAATCAATTAATGAAATGTGAAGTGAGCACAAGGTTGGCATTAAATCCAGGCCTCCTGACTCATGTTCAATTGGGCACCTATCATGTGCCACGATTTATGGGGAATATAATGATACTGGGCCCTACCCTCCTGGAGGCTACAATCTGGACAGCAATAAGCTGGTTACATAAATAATGATAAATTAAGATAGAGACTGACATTGCTCCAGGAAAAGTACAGATAAGATCTTCTTGCAGTGCAAAGGGCTGAGGACATTACAGTCAGGTCCCAGGAAAACGTAAGCACTGACAAGTACGGTCTTGAGGATCTGGGGGGTACTCACTATCACACTGACTCTTGTTCCACAGATACTGTGTCCAGGAATTTCAGCGGTTCGGGCAGGGGGCAAGGGCTGTTGCGGTGCAGGCTGCTGTGGAAATCGCTGCAGGGTAAGATTCCAATGAAGGCGGAATTCAGGATCAGCCTTTGAACAAGTCTTTGAAGAGCCAACCTCCACTACAGAATTCCTAACTGCATGAGCTCCACTTTAAAGAGTACCGGGATCCATCTCACCCCACCCCACCTTCTCCACACCCCCAGTCCCGCCAATCTCAGGCTTCAGTGGGCCTGACCAGGGGGGACCACAACCCCCAGGAACCTCTGCAGCCAGTGGCTCTTAGGGTTAGCCTAACTTCAAGCAGCGGGGTTTGACGGGAAATGCATTTTAACTGGACTCGAGAAGAACATGGTAACAGAGGGGCGGGGCTAGGGGCGGCTAACCCACGCGTGGGAAGGGGTGGCCCTACTCACGCTCCTTCTACTCTGCACGCAGATGCTGAGCTCGATCTTCTCCTCGGCATTCGGGTTGCTTGGTGCCATCTACTGCCTTTCAGTATCAGGAGCCGGGCTCCGAATTGGACCCAAATGCTTAAAGGACGGCACGTGGGACTACCACTTCAAAGAGACCTCGTAAGGCTTAGCCTGTATTGGCGCCCTCCCCACCCCATTCTGTGCGTCTCCTCACCTGCCCTTCCCACGTGGACCCGGAAACCTGGGCAGAACTCGCCTTCGAGAGATCTTCCTCCACGTGGGAAAAATGAGCCCTTTGCAAATCTCCCTCCGCGCAGGCGGGAAAGGGACCCCGGAGTGGGGCTCTCCCGGTGACCTCCTTCTCTCATGTGACCCACAGAGGCTCTTACTTGCTCAACCATACCCAGTGGAGTTTGTGCGAGGAGCCTCCTGATGTGGTCTCCTGGAATGTGACGCTCTTCTCATTGCTCGTGGCCGCCTCGTGCCTGGAGATCCTGCTGTGTGGGATGCAGGTGGTGAACGCGACCATTGGTGTCTTCTGTGGCGATTGCAGGAAGAAGCAGGTGGGATGGCGTGGGGAGCAGCTGTAGAGGGAACCTACTTCCTCCCTGGCTGCGCCCTCACGTTCTCTTTTCCGTAGGGCGCCCCTCATTGAGGCTCCACTGACCGCCCTCCTGGCTCCTGGACGGCCGCCTGGCCCGCCCCCACCCTGGAATAAACTGTTTTGAGCTGTCACGAGCATCTCAGGTTGTGCGCTCTGCGTGTGTCCGAAGACCGGATACGCTGGGGCTTGGAGCTCTTCTGTTTGGGGCCCCTGCATCCCGCTTGTTCTTAACAAATAGTTATTGAGCTGTTGGTGTGCGCTGGAAATACAGTAGTTAACGAGACAGGCAAATTCTATGCTCTCAAAGAATTTAACATTCCAGGAGTGGAAGATGGGCAATTTTAAAGAGGCAATAGATTACTTCAATTGGCGATAAACACTTTAAAAAAAACCACGTAGATAATGGGATAGATATTGACTGATGGAGGGGCTTTTAAAAATAAGTCTGAGAAAGTAAAATTTGAGCTGAAATCTGGTGTATGGGCTAACCATCACAGCAAGGACAAATCCTAAACGGGAATCAGAAAAGCCACTGTTTGAGTTTTGTAGTGTGTGAGGGTGGGGGGTGGGGGAGGAGATTATGGAAAAGACACGTAGCCAATTAAGCTCTAGAAAATGAAGCCTGAAGGTTTTTATGTCACCTAATTAGGTAGAAGTTTCTTAATCTGAGGTCACTAGTGGTTCAGAGTGGGGATGATGTGTCTGCAGACGCCCTCAGAAAGCCAGGGACTTCCTTAACTTGAATGCACAATTGTGCTTCAGGGAGTTTTTCTGGACTATGAGTCAGTAACTTTCAGTAGGAGTCCTGCCATGGACTCCTGAGACCAAACCTGAATTTCAATTTGGCCCTATGCTAGGTTAGGAGGAAGGCAAGGAAATACAGTTTCCTACCCCTAAAACAAGTGAGACCAAAGCCAAGATGGAGAAGCTTTAATAGCTAGGGGTGGGACAAGCCTGAGGTGGGGCCGGGGAGAGGACAGCGAAGGATCAACTGCGGCAGCAGAAAAAACGCACGTCATTAACCGCGGTGTCATCGCGGAGGCCTCTAGGCTGCTCAATCTTGACCTGCAGGCCGCACATGCCTTTAGAACACGGCTCACTCCAGTTTCCAAAGTCTCCCCAGGCCAGGCCAGGCCCCTCTAGCTCTGTGCCATCCGAGCAGCGGAAGCGCACGTTGTTGGCAGCCGTGTTGTCCCCAGGGGTCACGGGTGCCTCCACGCGAAGCGAGAAAGCCACGAGGAAGCCGCCACTGGGACACCACAGCGGCTCGCTCCACGCGCCCCACCTACAAGAGAAAGGGAGACACGCTGGCTCTGCGGGCGCCCTCTACCCACCTCCAGCCTGACCTAGCTCTTGGGACTTTCCAGCCAGATGCTACACGACCGGGGTGGATTGAGTGTAGTCGCCTGACATGCACGGAGGCGCGGAGGTGGAGGTCTTCCCAAAACTCCCCAGGTCTAAACTGCCCCACAGTTCTGGAGGGACCTGCTAGCTGGGGAGTGGGTGTGTGTAACAGAAGGCAAGGGGCATACCCCTACCCTAGGGGATCCTTGGCCTCTGCCCCCACCTTCCTGACTGAGACTCCACTACGCGAGTGTTGCGCGCCGCATTCCCCCGCGCACAGTGCAGCCGGATCCCGTTCATTGCCGTGTCGTCTCCAGGAATGCCTTGTGGGGGCTCCACCTGGGCAGCGAGGAGAGGAGGGGGTAAGGACGAGTTAGAAGACCATCCTCTGTTCTGGGGTCTTGAGCACCTCCGTCCCCTTTGAGACCTAGGTCTGAGCCCTCACCTTGAGCGAGAACCCGCTGGCGAAGAATCCGTCGGGACACATCTCAGGCCAGGCCCAGTCGCCCCAGGGGCCCCCATTAGTCACCTCCATGACTGAAGTGTAGTCACTCGACCTATCCGCTTGTGCGTGTCCAAAGCACGCAGCCCACAACAGCAGCAGCTTGGCTCCCGCACCCCACTCCATCCTGGAGCCTCTGTGAGTCCCCGGCCCTGAAGTACGTTTATACCACTTCTTCCCCTAGGAGGGCTCCGATTGCGGAAGGGCCACCCGGATTAAGTGACACCAAAACCTAATCTGCTCCTGGAACCCTGCAGACTCTTCTCTTCTCTGGGAGACAAAGGCTTTCAGTGCCAGAGGAGGAGGGGCAGATTTTGACAAGTTGAAATCTCCACCACCTACTGAATGTTTACTCTATAGGTCAGGAATTATGGTCAGCACTTTGCAGGCGTGTTTTATTTAAATCCTCACAACAATTTTAGGAGGTGAGAATTACCCTTCCTAGTCTGCAGATGAGGGAACTGGGGCTAAGAAATGGCAAGGGGCTAGCCTTAGGTCACAGTCAACAAGCACAGGAAATATTCCAACACTGGGAAATGGGGAGCCCAAGGCTAGGAATGAAAGTGATGGCTCTGGAATCCCACTGGACAGGATTGGTCAGGAATAAACTCGGAGGCCGCCAGGCTGTGAGGGAGCATCCCAGTGAGAGACAGAGCAAGAATTCATGAACTGTGGGAGCTAGGAAGTGTCTTCTTAGCGATGGGGGCCCTGCTCCTTGAGAATCTGGGATACTCCTCCCCCCCCAAAAAAAAGAAAATATACACAGAGACGCAACAATTCTATTAAGTTTATGGACATGGAACTAAGAACAGGAGATGCTGTTTCTTCCATTTCTTCCTGTATCCTTTCCCCAAATGTTTTTCCCAGTGGCCACTAGGTGGACTCCTAATTTGCAAAAACCAAAACCAATCAACCAAACAAAAAAACTGGCTCAAATTTGCCTTGGGGAGCACCACCCCTGATTTGTCTGCCCCTCATACACATTCCTTTGTTTATTCAACACATACTTATTTAGCAATAATATATTTTGGTCCAGGCAATATTCTAAGTGCTGTAAATGGAGCAGCAACCAAGAAAACAAGACCCCTGTCTTTATCAGAACACACATTCCAATGGGGGAAACAAAAGATAAATTCTCCGAAGGACCTTGAGCTCTGTGAAGACACTTTTGTCTTCTTGAGGCCTAATAAAAGGCCTGGCATGTGGAAGTAGTTAATAAAGGTTGGTTTTACAAATAATTGAGGAACCAACCTGGAGTTAAAAAAATTAAACCACAAAAATGTAAAAGGATGAAGCCTAAAGTATATAAGCAAGAGGTCATGTATTCAGAGCAAGACAAGGTCCCCTGGGGATAGGCTAGAGAATTCAGAGGTGGGTGTTCCCTGGATCCCAGGTGCCCCATGCTTGAACTTGATAGGTAAGATTTATGGAGCAATTGTGGTAAGCTTTTCCATTCATAGTGTTTGCACATACATTACCATTTAATCCTTGCAAAGTACCTATTATTATCTTCAATTTATAGTGGAGGGAACTCAAACCCAGAGTTAATTTAGGGCCCACTCCGCTGCTCAGTGGGGAAGCTGGTTCTGACCCCAGCTGCTCATCCCAATCCCCAGGCTGCCTCTTGCCACAACCTGGACCTACAACGAAGGGAAACGCAGGGACGTGTCGCTGCTATCCAACCTCCCAAATCCTCTTACTTGGATTTCTCACACCTGGGGTGCTGCCCTCTGGGGCAAAGGGCACAGGGGAAGGGGACTTAGTAGGTTAATTATCAACCCTTGCACCTCAGGGCACCGCAGGCTTCTTTCCCCTCCCAGAAGCTGAGGAACAAGGACCGGCTAGGGGTTGGTGAGGGGACGGTGGTCCCAGCAGCAGCCATGGGGGTTGCGCTGCCCTCACAGGTCCGGCGGCGCTGGTTCCGCCATACAATTCCTCTTGTCATCTTGATGCTGCTGCTTTTTTATCTCTGTGCTCGGAGCCTACGTGAGTGGCCTCACCTGCTCTGGGAGGAACCCAGGAATCCAGGTCCTTGGGGCCTAAGACCCCTTTTCTAGCCCTCACCGGGCTCCGCCTTGCCTCTCCCCAGGCACGCTCTCAGGCTGCGGATCCGAGGCACAGTACTGCATTCCCGAGGGATTGCTGCCTTTACAGGTATGCTCGGGATAGGGCTGGGACTGGGAACTCCATGTCGGACCTTAAACAGGGGCAAGTGGAGCCAGGCCGAGGCTCTGGTGAAGGGTGGGCCCTCCTTCCTGCATCCCCTCTCTCGCCAGAAGCTGCGAGTACAGCAGGAAGGAGACCAGCTAGACCTTAGGAATAACTTCTTCAGAGCCTGACTGGGCTGCTTGGCGAGGGTGGACCAGCAGACTCGGGGTGCTGCTCCCGCCCCCTTCCCCTCATATCTACCCTTCCAGATCCAGCAACAGCTGGGAACCCTGCAGGCCCCGGAGCGGGAAGAGCCTCAGTGTCTGGGCCCCCAGGGGATGTTGAGCCGCATGATGAGGCCGTTCCGCGCCAGTCTGAACCCCGAAGGGGATGTGGAGTTGTCGCGGTATCTGGCGGGATGGAGGGAGCTAATTAGGTGAGTGGTCTCCCTCCCCTAATCTAGTCCCCGCTTCGTGTGGCTCCACAGCTATCTCTCGAACCATCCCACTCTTCCCACCACCAAACACACAGGTTCCTAACTCCCTTTGGCTCCATCTTCGTCTTCGCCACAAGAGAGGCCTTCGCCAAAGTGACAGACCTCGAGGTTCGGGTGCACGGCCCAGATGCCGCGCACTACACTTCGCTGTCAGGCATGGTGGCTTGGGAGCAGCGGGCGGGAATGCTGGAGCGGCCCGGGATCGCCCCTCAAGACTCGGCCAAGTCCTCGGGTTCACGAACGATGCTCTTGCTGCATCGTGCGCTACGCTGGTCCCAGCTCTGCCTCCACCGGGTAGCGACCGGGTCGCTCGGAGGCCCGGACGCCGGCGAGCAGTGCAACGACGCCTACAACACAGCCCTGGCCCCGCACCATCCCTGGCTGGTCCGTCAGGCCGCCCGCCTCGCATTCCTCTCCTTCCCGGCTCGCGGCCGCTTGCTCGAGCTGGCGTGTCCGGGAGCCAGAGAGGCAGAGGCGCGGGCCTCGCTGGCCCGGGCCGCGGGCACCCTGGAGGATGTCTACAACCGGACTCAGGTGTTGCTGGCCGAGCGCGGCCTGCTCCAGCTGGCCTGAGGCCCGCAGTCGCTAGGACCCGTTAGGAACCGAACACACTGGGGTGAGGTCAGCGCAGCTCAGGGTGGAGCCCTCGGCTCTCGCTTCCGGCGCCAGGGAGCACGGCACCCGCTGTCCCGCCTCTTTGGTCACGTCACTGACTTGAAGGCCCGCCCCTGGCCGGGTGGGTTTTTTAAGACCCTACCTCTATTCGTAGTCTCCGGAAGAAGGGAGGAGCTGTGGGGAATAAAAAGTATTCTTTGGTAGCCGTTGATTTAGGGAGTTTTGCGTGATGCCGGCAGGCGCTTAAGAAAAATAGAAAAAACAATGGCTATGTGTCATCCCTGTTTCCGGCAGCAGAGACTCTCGCCCCCGCGTGGCTATCTCAACCACTCCTATGGCTTCAGTTGCCAACTGCAAGCTAAGTCTCCAGCCCAGGCCTGTCCTCTGAGCTCCAGCCCCTTAAAGCCAGTTCTTTCCTGGACACCTTCACAGACACCGCAAATGCAACACGTCCAACTCGAATCCAACCGCCTCCTCCCAGAACTGCACCTCTTCTTGTGTTCCGTGTCTCTGTGAACGTTTAGCACCCTCTTCTGTCAACTATCCAAGCCTAAAACCTGTGCATCATGCCTCACACCAAGCAGGCGTTCAGCTCAATAATGTATGTTTATTAAATAACTCCTTGGCCACTCCCACAACTATAGTGAACATGAAAGACCTTGGCCGTTTCATACACTGATAACTCCCAAATTATAACTCCAACCCACTCTCCCCTAAGACTCCAGAATGCTATCTATACATCTCCTTATTCAACATCTCCACTTGGATTTCAACTAGGCAGAGCAAACTTAACATGCCCAAAACTGAGCTTCTAATACACTCTCCTCCCAAAATACTCCCTTCATAGTCTTTGCTATCTTCATGAATAACAACTCCATTCTTCCAGGTCCTTAAGTAAAAAACCTGACTCTTTCTTCTGTTTCTCTTTCATCGTACCCACATCCAAACTGTACCCACATCCAAACTGTCAGAATCTGACCATTAACCATTATCTTCACTGCTACCAAACTTGTCAAGCCAATTTTATCTAACACCTGAATTACTGCAGTAGCCTCCTAATTGTCTCTCTGTTCCATACTTAGCCTCCCTACAGTGTATGTTCAATAGAGTAGCCAAAATAATCCTTTAAAATGTAGATCATGTCACATTCCCTGCTCAAAACCTCCTAATGGCTTCCTATTGAACTCAAATGAAAAAAACATTTTAAATTTAAGCAAAAAATTTTCTGGATCATGTTTGCAGTTGATAATGATGAAAAGCTTCGTAAAGGTCCTACCTGATCTGACTCTGCACTAGCCAAATTGATCTCCTCAATATTCATTGAACATGTCAGATTTGATCCTGACTCAGGACCTTTGCACTTGCTCTTTCCTCTGTCCAGAATGCTTTTTCCCAAAAAAGAGAGATAACTCTCCTCATTTCTTTATGGTTTTTATTCAAATGTATTCTCCGTGAGACCATTCTTGATTATTATTTCAAAACACACACACACACACACACACACACACACTTCCTATCTTCCTTCCTTGCTTTGTTTTTCTTCTTATATGATTCACTCAAACAGAACATACTATATATTGTAATTTTTGTTTTGTTTTGTTATCTCCCCCAATAGATGTGAGAGCTCCATGGGGCTATAAGTTTCTGCCTATTTTGTTCCCTGGTGTACCTTCAGTGCCTCAAAGAGTGCCTGGTACCTAATAGACATTCAATAGCTTTTTGCTGAATGAATGTATGAGTACCAAAAATAGTTCAGATGGCTGGAGCCAAAAGTATCATAAAGAAAAGAAGGGGGTGGCACCACAGTGTAAATGTACTTGATGCTATTAAATTGTACACCAAAAATGGTTAAAATGCTAAATTTTATGTTCTGTTACTTATATTTTACTAAAATAAAAAAATTAAAAAGAGGAGATGCCTTTGAGGGGACATGTGCATCCATGTGTTCATGCAGCATTGTTTACAATGGCCAAGATGTGGAAGCAGCCTAGGTGTCCATCAAGGGATGAATGGATAAGAGGAGGTGATACATATATACAATGGAATATTGCTTGGGCATGGATGGGAGGGGGTTCTTGCCATCTGCGGGGGCATGGATGGACCTGGAGGGTATTGTGCTGAGTGGAGCACAGTATGGTCAGACTGAGAAAGACAGATGCAATGTGACTTCATTTATATGTGGAATCTAACAAACAAAATAAACAAAACAGAAACAAACAAACAAAAAAAGAGATGTGATTCTGGACAAGTGGGCAGGAGCAAGTTCATGAAGGGCCTTATAAAACATGTTATAGAGATGGGACTTTATCTCAAGCATTAATTTTAAGCAGAGGATTGTCTGGATCATAGTTTCAATTAAAAAAACCAGCTCCAGCTGCAGTATGTAGAAAAAGTATGGCAGATTCATAGGAGAACCACTTCACACAATAACAGCAAAATACACATTCTTCTCAAGTGCACATGTTACATTCCCCAGGATAGATCATATGTTAGGCCACAAAAAAGTCTCAATAAATTTAAAAAGACCGAAGTCACAAAACATTCTCCAACAAAAATGCAATGAAATTAGAAATCAATAACAAGGAAATTTGGGGATTCACAAATATATGGACATTAAATAATACTCTTAAAATGGGTCAAAGGAGAACTCATAGGAGATGATATTTTGAGATTAGTGAAAATGAAAACAAAACATACCAAAATTTAGGGATGCAGCAAAGCAATGCTCAGAGGGAAATCTGTAGCTATAAATGATGATATTAAAAATGAAAAAAGATCTCAATATAATAGCTTAACAGTCCACCTTAAAAACTAGAAAAAGAAAACCAAACCTAAAGAAAAGTAGAAGGAAGGAAATGATAAAGATCAGAGTGGAAATAAATGAAATAGAAAATAGAAAAATAATAGAGAGAATCAACTAGATCAAAAGTTGCCTCTTTAAAAAGATCAAGAAAATTCACAAACCTTTAGCTAGACCAACCAAGGAAAAAAAGAGAGAAGACTCAAATTACTAAAATGAAGAATGAAAGAGGGACATTACTACTGATATTACAGAAATAAAAGGGATTAAAAGGGAATACTATAAATGACAGTAGGCCAACAAATTAGATAACCTGAAAGAAATGGACAAATACCTAGAAAGACATAAACTACCAAAACTGACTCAATAATAAATAGAAAATCTGACTAGACCTATAACAAAAAGATTGAGTTAGTAATAAAAAAAACTTCCCACAAAGAAAAGCCCAGGACCCAATGTTTTCACTGATAAATTCTACTAAACATTTAAAAAAAATAATGCCAATCCTTCATAAACTCTTACAAAAATAAAAGAGTGACTACTTCCCCACTCATTCTATGAGGCCAGTATTACCCTGATTCCAAAGATATCAAAAACAAAAAACAACAACAACTAAAAACACAGACCAATATATTGTATAAATGAAAATGCAAAAAAATCTTCAACAAAATCTTCAACAAATCAATTGACTATGATGTATTATACTTTTTATATGTGGTATAAAAAGTATAATACATCATAGTCAATTGATTTTCGTTAAGGGTGTCAAAACTATTCAAAGGGGAAAAGATACTCTTTTCAACAAATGGTGCTGAAGCAACTGGACATCCACATGCAAAATAATGAATTTGGGCCCCTACTTCACATTACATACAAAAATTAAGGAAATGAATCATAGAACTAAAAATATAGGAATTAAAACTAGAAGAGTTTTATAGATATAAATCTTTGTGGCCTTGGATTTGGCAACAGTTTCTTGGAGATCAAAAGCACAATCAAAGGAAAAACCGACAAATTGGACGTCACCAAAATTTAAAACTTTTGTGCTTCAAAGAACACCAATGAAGAAAGTGAAAAGACAAGCCACACAGGAGAAAATATTTGCAAATCATATATCTGATAAACATCTAATATCTAGACTACAAAAAAGAACTCTTAAGAACACAACAATAAAAAGATAACCCAATTTTAAAATGGGCAAAAAGACATCCATAAAATGGACTTCAAAAGACATTTCTCTAAAGAAGATATACATACGGTCAAGTAGCATATGAAAATAGGCTCAACTACACTAATCATTAAGGAAATGCAAAAAACAAACAAAACCCCACAAGATACCAATTCACACCCAGTAGGGTGGCTAAAGTAAAAAATGCACAATAACAATTTGTGAGGATATGGAGAAATTGGAATCCTCATACGTGGCTGGGGGGGATATAAAACAGGGAGGCTGTTGTGGAAAAGTTGTCACTTCCTCAAAATGTTAAACAGTTACTATATGACCCAGCAATTCCACTCCTAGTACTGTATATATACTCTTAGGTATTTACCTAAGAGAAATGAAAACATAGTGTGTTAACTGGAAGTCCGAGGTTGCAACTCCGATCAGATATATAAGTTCTGCGCAGTCCCACAGGAAATGTAGTCCTTACAGACTGTTTTGAGGGTATTTTTATTTGCCTATTTGCTGGCCACGCTGCCATCAAACACTCACTGTCCAGGAAAAACAAAAAACAAAAAAACACCTTTCTTACACATTCGTTTTCCCTTCTGCCGTCAACCGTGGCCCTGCTTCGTCCCAGAAGGCTTCAGAGCACGACTAAAGACAGTGACAGAGCGCTTTACGACAGTTGCTTTGTGGCAGTATCGGAGGAAGATGGCGGCCACCTTAGTAGCTGCTGGAAGAGTGGGACCAGCACCAGCCTGGGGTCCGGAGGCCATTACTCCCGACTGGGAAAACCGGGAAGTCTCCACAGGGGTGAGGAAGGACTCGAGGTTCAGGAGATGTGCACAAAGCTTCCTGCGATGGGAGGATAAGGCCTGAGTGGGTTGGGAGAATTTGGGGGCGGGGGCGGGAGGTGGTCTGATGTGCTGCAGGCAGGGGTAGAAGTATCCTGAAGATGCGGCGTGGTACTTTCGTGGTGGGAGGTCAGCGTGGAATTCTGGAATTTTGAGGGACGCAGGCTTAAGGCTGGGATGAGCCTTTGGGAATTTGAGGATTGGAATTCTGGTATTCTGTGGGGTGTTGAGGTCTCTTGAGATTTGACCACGGGTCAGCGGCACACGACTTTCTTACGCTTGGGACTGGGTAGAGGGTTCACTGAGGTTTGTATGTGCTGGAGAATGTGGACAGGCCTAGACTCACTCCTTTCTCCTTTTTCCCAGACCACTATCATGGCCGTGCAATTTGACGGGGGCGTGGTTCTGGGGGCCGACTCCAGAACAACCACTGGGTGAGCTCA